GGGTAGTAGCAATGAAGGGTGATGGTTAATTTTCTCCGATTTTGACGGTTGACGATTAAATTTTAGAGCTTTTGACGTTTGACGGTTATAAAGTGGAAATTTAGTCCAAGAGTTGTACAAAATATTAACGTCTGTATAAATTGATGTTAACAGTTGTGTTTTGAAGGTTGTCTTCGCGTTTAAAATTTCAAAATAGTTTGAGATATAAGCATAAGGTAGCCTGTGTACACAGGCTTGTTTTAAGGTCTTGTAATGTCCAGAAGGAGTGTTTTTGAGAACATGTGAACTGGTTTTCCAGTTTGGAGATTTTTCAGGAGCCAGAAGTCCATGAACATCAGCTGAAATACCAATAAAAGAAAGATTTGAAATGCGTTGGAACTTTTTAACGGTCTGCATTTTTGACTTTTGACGGTAAAAATATTACAATTGACAGCAGACGGTGAAATTTTAGGCCGTTTGCCAGCTGACGTTTAACCCCTTTGAGACCCTTTTTGAGACCCTCTTTTAAAGGTCAAATTTTAGTATAAAACTAAAAGGCGGCGTCCAAGTTAGTAACAATTATTATTATCACAGTTTTTGGAACGCATTATGCAGTACCTCAATGTGTGTACAGAATTAAAGTTAGTGGTGTTGTGAAGTACTAATGGTGTCCTTTATAATATGTTATCAACTCTTAGAGAAATGTCTGTTGATTTTGTTCATTTTTTTAGCCAACTTCTAGCTGGAGTAGACACAGTGAAGTTTATATCACAACAGCTGGATTCCATTGACAGAATAACAGATGTCCATGTTCACTCTGATAATGGATGACACTAATTGTCACCTAGCTACACTGTATTGAAAAGCCTAGATCCCTCATGGTTCTTTTTATGATAGAGATATAACAATTTTATAAATAAAATTTTTCTACCCTTTGGAATGAAAAGTAAGTAAAGAATTACACGCTTAAAAGATACCACACACGGCTAACGGCAGGGTTGATACAGCTATTTCGGGAAAGGTTGTCGGCAAAAATGTGGACGCGACAATCCCGAAAGGTAATATGGGATATGATCGATACACTGTTCCTGACGACTGTAGCTGTCGAACCTACTGTAGCACTCGCAAACATATTTCCATGGACTTTTGTGCCAATTCTTTCAAATTTCTCTGCCTTTCGGGATTGTCGCGGGCACTTTTTCCGACAACCTTTCTCGAAATAGCTGTATACTTGTCAATAGAGTGTTTTCACATGACGTCACGGCGGCCATATTGGTGTCCCAAAACAATGAAACGGTGGCCATGTTGGTGTTCCAAACCAATCCTTTGGGAGTTAAACTCTTTTCTTATGCAAATGCTTTCTTTTGTTCCAATAAATTTGCATAAATGATCCATGGCCAAGTGAGTGACAGTGCTCTTTAACACGGATAATGAAGATCAGTAATTAGTATTTATTTTATAATGGGAAGATTTCACAAGATTCTATAAATCAATGTGGAATGTCTTTGATGTCGTTTAATAAACTCGCAGTACGTGTTTTATCAGGTCTAAAATGACGAGCGAGTGATTTTAGACCCGATAAAACACTGCTGTTCGCTTATTAAACATTACATAATCGTCCCTATTTATAAAGCGCTTTTTGCATAAAATTCCAAGAGCACTTACAGCGTCTTACATAATTGCAATAAAGTGTAAAACTTTAAATAATTAGCTTGCAAGTTGGTCTTCAAGAATCTCAGACGTTAGAAGAAATTCTACATAAAGCTATGAAAATTAATGTATGCTTTTCGAAAAAGAGGTTTCTATTTTTTTTTAATACACTGTGTCTCACATAAACGTATATTTTTGGTAAAGAATTCGTCTGTTTGCACACCCTGTTGGATGTTGTTTGGAGTTGTTGTACAAAGTTTGAAACCGGTCAAACGTTTAGCTACGTGCAACGGGACGCAACAACTCCCAACATTGTTGGCTCATCAGTGTTGTTAGACAATCATTACTGACTCCAATGGAGAGCGGGCTTTTCACGACGCTATTGGAAGAAATATGTCCAAAATAGTAAACCTAGCAGCCGGATTACTTAAGTGTATTTTGCTTCTTTTAAAAGCTAAACAAATGGCCGTTTCATAATTCCTTTGGCTTGTCACACCACATACTTTTTGGTTTTAGTTAGTACCTAATTTTCGCTTAATTGTCTAGTGTGTTTTGCGTGTGTGTGTGTGTGTTTTTTTTTTAATTGGTAATAGTATTAGTCTGTAAATTGTGAATTTTTTTTCTGTTTCTTTCTTTCTTGATTGTAGTTAACTTATAGTTGTTGTGGTAGAGTTAACATGTTTAAATTCCTTTTAAAAAAGTTTGGGGTCATAATCAACATCAATAAAATACCAAAAAAAGGTCGCATTTAATAGAAATCAAACGTACGTCCGAGTTCACATGTAGATCTGCCAGCCCCTTATTTCAACTCGTGATATCCCTACCTTTTATTTACCGGAACAAGGCTGATAAAGGTCCTGCACGGGCGCGTTTCTCGAAAGTCCCGAAAATTAACGGGCCCGGTAAGCTGTCTCCGTTTACATTATAGCCTGTGTACAGACGTCCCCCCCTCCCTCAGGAAAAATCGGGAGAGGAGACGTCTGTGAATCGCCGACGATAATCTTGTTCCCGTTTCCCCGGAATGTTTGGGACAGCCCCTGATTGGTTGTAATGTTAATGCCATGACGCAAATAATTTCCGGTGTTGTGATTGGTGAATGAACCTCAGAATAGATTCCCCGGGGAAAAGCTCAGCCTTTGTGGACATTCATATTTGTTTACCGGTATTTGTATTTCGGCTCTATCGAAAAGACATGAGAAGGTAAGACCACCGATGTCTGCTGCACCGGTTGTGGATGCATCTGTCTGTACCGTTCGGTATTGTAAATAAAAGAGAAGGCATACAAAATCCAACGTTAACAGCCAAGGCCGCGAGTCAAGCTTACCCCAAAAAGATTCTATTAATGAATTGATTATTTGAAAAAGTGAATCCGTTAGTCGTTGCCGTAACTGGTGTCAAATTTAAATCGGCATTCCTGTATGCGTAATGAGCAGTGAATATTTTAAGAGAACTTCTCTGCATTTGGTCAGATTGAAAATCTTTGAATTCAGGGAAACTGAGCTGGTAGATATTTTCTAACTAAATCGCGTGTG